GTTTTTTTGCAAAACAAAATGATGATGATGATGATATGATAAATGAGTAGCAATAGCCTTAATATTTGTTCATTTTATTTTTGGGGTGTGTTTAGAAACCGAAAAATAATTTCTGAAAATTATTTTCTGGATTTTCAGTGTTTGGCAACGCTTGAAAAATTAAAGTCATATGAAAAATCAAATCCGGTTGTAGTGAAAAATCACTTGTTTTTTTTTTGGAAAACAACTTTCTCTTTTTTTGAAGAAAAGTCATTTTTCAGGCCTCTTCTCTTTGCATTCTGGACATTATTTCTCAACCATCTTCCCTGACTTATCTCCTCGGCGACCAACTAGTCACCTTCCATCGGAGAAGGCGAACAGTTGGTCTCCTTCTCCGATAGAAGGCGACCAGTTGGTTGAAGGCAACCACGGTCACCTTCCATCTCTAGTAGAAGGTGACAGGACACTGTTTAATTTGTCCGTCGCCGATCGCTGATTTTGCCTTCAAGTTGACCGAGTAAAATTTAAGGTATTTGACCTTTTTATTTTCTGTTCATTTTATGGAAAATGAACTAAACACACTAAGATAGTTTTGTGTAATGCAACCAAACACTAAAAATGAAAATGTTTTTCGAAAAATAACTCATTTTTCAGAAATCATTTTTATGGTTTCTAAAAACACCCCTGGTTTGATGGTCTCAACCTTAAGCTATGGGCTACACTCATTCTATAGACGCAGACGTGCATATTTGATTGTTGGAGTGTATAATTGTGACATGACAAAAGCAATCGGAGGGAAAGCATAAAGAGGAGGGCAGGAAACTTAGCATCCAACTGCCGACAAGAGAGAAGGAAAGGTCTTTAGTTAGTTTAGTTCAACCGAACAACAACTGCCGACCAACAGCAACTAACGCAGCTTCATTTGTGTGTCCTTTAGCCAGCGGTCGTTTTACATATGCACCAACGCAATGCACATGCAACTTCCGCCCTCCAGCCTCCTCATCATCCTTATCCCTTCCCCCCACTTCACCAGCATGTCTCCACTAACTTAAATTCATCATAATAACAATATAATACTACTCCATAAACCTAATCAATGCTAGTTTTTCTTGTTTTGGTTTTCATCGTCAAAGACTTTTAAGCATTGCCTTTTTTTTATTATTATTATTTTTTTATTTTTTTTTAATATAGGTCAGTAAATCACAGTAAAAATATCTATGCAACATGTTGGATCAAAACGCGTGGCCTCTTGATCAGCTTGATTGGATTAACTAGATTGGATTATTGCCCTTAACATGTTTTTTTTTTTTTTTTTCTAAGGACATAATCAATATTTCTCGCCATTTTATGGACTAATTTCCCCCAATCATCATATAATCTTCTCTCCAATCTCTCTCTCTCTCTCTCTCTCGAACACATCTTACACATTATCTATTATTTTATTCACTTCTCTATAATTATTCATTTCAAATTTTAACTTTAAATAAAAACAAATTTAAATATTATGTATACCAACAAATAAAAAATAAAAAATAGAAATCAAGCCGTTGAAAACTGCTTGATTTGGTTAAATAAACAAATTTTAATATATAAAACCGAGGGTGGGGAACCCTATATATGTGAGTGAATATGGTGTGTGGCGAACATGCGCCATATAATTTGCGTGTGTTGGTCACACGCCACAAGTTTGACAATTATTTTTTCATAGATACAGTTCTCTCCAGAGAAAGTAATATCTCCCTTCCTCCTCTCTCTGGCACTTTTCCATTTTTCTCCATTTCCCTCAAAGTGGTGCATTGGATGTTTAATTTGGATATGTCCTAATAAATTATACGGAGTAGTATATTATCATTTCAATATATAAGAAAATAAAAAGTCGAATAAATACAATACTTTCTTGTCATAGAAAGATAGTAAAATATTTTGAGCAATAGGAAGTGATTGCGATTAGGGTGATAATAGGAATTGGTCTTTCACTTTTATAATTTAATATTCACCCTTTCCGTCTATGTTAAGAAAAACAATAGTAGCTGTAATAAATTTTTAACTTCTATTAAATTTTGCTATATTTAATATAATTTTATTTAATTAAGTCGTCTTAATCTATTTATGAATATTTAATAAATATATTTTCTGATGAATAATTGGACTGGTCCCAGCCTTACAATCACTCAAATTCTTTTGATTTTTTTTAGGGGGTGGGGGTTATAATTAAGACTCTGTTGGAAATAATGACGCAATTGTGACTATCATCAACTTGAGATTAGATTACCACAAATTATCCTCATAATGAAATAAACACAGACCCAAAAATAATATAATAATGTCAAAATTAATACTCTTAAGAAATATGCTTAACATCGTTTAAAAATCACAAAAAAAAAAAATGGTGTGTTATTTTTTTTTTTAATATGTGATATTTTTAAGTAAAAATGTAATATTTATTTTTATAAGTTAACAAATATTATATTTTTATTAAAAAATATTACTTGTGTCTTGAAAAACATTATTAAAAATATAATATTTGTTTTTAGTAAAAATATAATATTTTATTCATCTAAATGTATTACGTTTTTATTAAAAAGTACTACAAGGTTATATTGTGAAGTGATCTCACATGCATAAAATTAATTTTTATAAAACTAAATATGTTTAAATGGTAACAAGTTTGACTCTTCAACTAATTACATTAAAGCTCGCAGCAATACTAATCTGCACAACTTTAAACTCTTTATCAAATTTTAAAACTTTTCTATCCTCCCCATTCCATTTTTTGCTACATTTAAACCCCTTCCTCCATATATACCACCTCTCTATATCAATTTAAAACAAGAAAACCCCAAAATTCTCAAACAATCAATTCAACAACGTTAACTTGTGGTAGTAGACCGGGTTGGAGATGCTGACTAAAGAAACACATACAAAACCTTAGCTTTTTGTCCAAAACAGTTACTTCTCAGATATATTTTGGTTGTTTCTATGAATGCAATTAAGCACTGAAAAGTACATTCTAATTATTTTTGTTTCTTCTTATATGGAGAAAGTTATATAGTCCTGTCAACCCCTCCCTTGTAGGTGTACGTTGTCTTGTTATCCTCCAATAATGCAATTCACTTTCACAGTTGAAAATGTAGAGGGAAAAAATATATGCAACCAAAAAAAAAAAAGTTTGTGGTTCACTTCATGTCACAAACATTATTGTAGGTTTGGATTTGGGTTGAGCTCTTTGTACGTAGAAGACAAAAGTATACAATTTGGTGTTATAAATGTATAATATATATTCGTTAGTGATTTTTATTACATGATAAAGATACTAAGTGATACTGCTTGTGTTTTTTTTTTTACTCTTATGTACTCCATTTTTTTTACCCCTTGTATGTTGAGTGTTGACATAGCATGTTCTCATTAACTAAGAAAAATTAAATAGGCCATCATTTGTATTCATTTTCTTTGATTTTCCAATAAAATTTGAATACGTGAACATGATAACACTACAATTTTACTCTTTTAAAATATATTTATCGTTTTTTTAATATTTTATACATTTTTATTCTTAACAACTGTTTGGGAATGGGGAGTACTTTGGAATTGTTTTTTAAAAAATTGATAGTGGAGGCGGAGCCTGGGATGAAGAGGAGTGTAGAAAAGAAGGTGAGGGGCATGGGTTAAGACTTAAGGGGTCGTTTGGTTCACGGAATGTTAGATTACCTTAGAGAATGTTAAATTGTTGAAAATATTAGATTAATAGGAATGTTAAATTCTTGTGTTTGGTTAAAATTGAGATATGTAATATAATCATGTTTGGTTTAAGGTAATCTTTTATACACCCATTATAATATTCTTAACATATTTTCATATATTTTAATAAATTTAAAAATTAAAATAAATAAATAACGGTATCATATATAATTACATGATTTTAGAATATTAACTAAAATCTTGAATTTGAAAAACAAAATTATTTTATAAACTAACATAACTAAGGTTATCTTATATAACCTAATAAATTGAAGGGAAGCACATTCCCTTCAAAATCTATGTGGAGGGAATGTGACATTCCTTGGGAATTTTATATTCCCTAAAATAATATAAACCAAACATAGGAATGTGAGCTTTGAAATGTTACATTCCCTTGGTTATGTTGGGTGAAAAGGGCCGGGTGATTTTTTTAAATAGTATTTTCATTCGTCTCATTTTATGTGTTTAATTCAATTCAATCTACAATTAAAAGTACTATTAATTACTAAAAATAAATTAAAAAATAGTTTTAAAAACAATAAAAAATCATAGAAAAAAAAACACTTTAGTTTGAGCAACATAACTATAGATCGAATAGAACAAATAGAGTATTAAATTATTAATGAGTTTAGATGATTTGTACGTCTTTTAGTTGTAGTATGAAATTTCTCGGAAAGTTTAGACAAAACGTCAGTCTATAAATTTATATTAAGTTTGTATCATTTTGAGCGTATCCAAAGCAAATGAATGAAGAAAAGGTCGAGAGTTCGATTCTTGGCTTTGAAAATGGAGCAACTTTAAATTTTCAGGTCAATTGTGCCACTCAAAAGAGATGCCTATAATTCAAAAGAGATGTCTATAATTCAGTGAGGGAATTAATTACTGTGTCCGACTGTGAAAACTTTGGATAGATCTAAAAAAAAAAAAAAGAAGCAAATGGATGAATGCTGAATAAATGTCACAGATTGACTTAGAACCATAAAGTTTTAAATTTGACTTCTTGTAAGAGTTGTTCATTGATATTTTTAATTTGAGTATGTCAATTATAATAATTTAAGTTAATTTATCTTTTTTTAATCTTTTGCCGATTAAGGTCAGTTACAAAACATATTTCACATAAAATATATATTTTCAAATAGAAACTACAGACTTTTATGTAAATCAAAATGATTTTATATGATTTGTGATATTATTAGGGTTAGATATGTATAATGCTGAGTAAGCTGCACAGCCCCACAGGCTACAAGTTGCAAAGCAGACAATATCCAAATGATGTGTATTACAGTATGCATCTAATTATTATAGAACGGACCCATAATAGGAATTATGAAAGCAGCCCAGCAATTTACACTAATGTTTTTTCTTAATTATTATTTAATTAACTAAATTAAATCTGTGGTAGATTCTCATTTCTGAAGACAACCCAGCAGTACAACTTTGTCAGCATCTCTGTCTTTCTCTCTCTCTCTCTCTCTCTCTCTCTTCACCAAGAATACGTTCGTGGCTTTGCTGGCTTCACCTAACGCGGTGCCCTCCGGCCCCACACGCTCTCTCCTCTCCTCTTTTCCCTCCTTCAATCCCCGCCCCCGCGCCATAGCTAGCCGCGAAGGGTTTTGCGCGGGTTCCTCTTTCTGATTATACTGGCCGGAATCAATCAATCAATCTGGTGAGTAGAGGAATTGAAGGGTTTTGTGGTGGTGGTAGATGGCGGCGCAGCACGCGAGCACAGCTCCGGCGGGGGGCGGCGGGCCGGGGCCGGGTCAGTTCGGTGACACGACGTTGACGAAGGTGTTCGTGGGAGGGCTGGCGTGGGAGACGCAGAGCGAGTCGCTAAGGCGATACTTTGAGCAGTTCGGCGAGATACTTGAGGGCGTCGTCATCACCGATAAGCACACCGGGCGGTCCAAAGGCTATGGCTTTGTGAGTCTTCTTCTTCTTCAATTCAATTCGCTTTGCTTTGTATATTAACAAGCACGGTTGGAAATTATGGAATTTTCGACCACCTGATCTTAAATTAAGTTGAAATCAAAAAGTGGTCAGAAATAGCAACAAAGGTTTTTCCGGACACCAAAAATTGTCGGAACAAGGTTTTCGACTTAATTTAAGATCGGGTGGTCGGAAATTCCATAATTTCCAGTAGTGAAGGAATTAAACAACATGCTTTTGTGTTGACTTTTTTGTATGGTCACAATCTTTTCTTGATGCTTATTTTTGCTGAAGAATTTATATACCACTATTATATATTTTCTTGTTATTTACTGAATAAATACAATCTCTGTGGAGGTTAGGTGACATTCCGGGATCCTGAAGCTGCAAGTAGGGCTTGTGCCAACCCAAATCCAGTTATTGATGGTAGGAGGGCAAACTGCAATCTGGCTTCCCTGGGCCGGCCTCAACCATTTCTTCACGGTATCGATCATCTTGTCTCCATGATTCTGGTTGATTAGCCTCTGTACTTTCTTTATATTATTGGTTTTAACTTTTAAATTAAATTAAATACATTGTTTGTGCTGATGACAGGTTCTTTTAGATCAACCCTCCCCCATCTGGGGCCGCAAGGTTTTAGAGGTGTGTACATGGGAAACCCGGTTTACCAGCTGCCAGTTCCATATGGCTATCAACCTGGAGTGCCTTATCCTGCATATAGGTTAGTTATGTAACTTCACTAGCAAAGGATTATGATCCTGCCCCGTGCCAAGGTCTGAATATGCATTGCTAGCTTGCTCATTATCGGGTTTGTCTAGGTCGAACAGAGAATTCCAGTTCCACACTAATATAGAATCATCTGATTACATGTTTTTTCCATTGACCTTTCCAGGTGCCAAGTGTGGCAGACATCTCATAATCTTTGAATTGGTATTTTCATCTCCAACACTTCGAAGTAGAACTTTGCTACTTTAAATGGAAGAAAAAAAAAAAAATTCTTTTGCTGATCCTGTAAATTTTTTGTTTCTGAAACCTAGTGTGCATTGGCAACCGTGCTTAGTTCTTAATCTAATAAAACAAAATACGTTTATGTATGTGGCTTACCATATGTTATTCAAAGTACTTTTCTCAACCTCTTATCTGGTTATAATTATTTAAACTAAGGGGTGGCTTTCTGGAGGGTGGGTCGTGAAGTGCTTGAGTCTCAAACATTTTACACCAATGTCGGATCGTCAGCCACTCAAAAAACATCTTTGCATTCACAGTTTACCAACATCTTGTTTTCAAATGTTGTTGCTATTGTCGAACATCTGAGTTGAAATTTTTTGGTTGTATTTAATGAATTGTTGTATGTTTTACCTAATGTTTGACAGGTACCCAACTTATGCCCCTGAATATGCATACCCTCAGGCAAGTCTGTATTTCGAACTCAAGCTGATACTGGATTTATTTAAAAATGTTTTCAGAGTAGTTTGAAATTGAAATAGTTTCCAAATCAGTTTAATGAGCACAAAAAAGTGTTGGAAAATGTTACAATGCTGCCCATCACTACGTGGAAGGGTAGTGTTGGCTTTTCCCTTAAATAAAGGGAGGGGATGGGGGCATTTAGAAACATGGCATGTCAGTGAGGTGTATTATATTCTACCACCTGATAAAAGCCTTGTGGTATGGTATCACTGAAATGTGTTTGCTGGTTGCTGAAATTGGAATTTTGTTCAGATTTATGGGTTATCAGGCACAAATCCATTGCCGGTTGGTCACATGTCTCCCCAACCTGGCAGTCCGGGGTATACAATGGTGCGGGGTTATCTCATGCCAGGTCCTCATCATATGGTACAGTATCATAGACCTAATGTTAGTGGAACAATCACAGACGGGACTACTACTGCAATGCAAATACCATATCATTCAGGTATTGTAGCTAGCATTTATGGGTGCTTCATTTTTCTTTCCACTTATATGGTTTTGAGCATTGAAATAGTGGTGGTTGGTCAGGTATTGTGATGCCATCTCTGGGTCAACCACAGATTGCAGTCCGCTCACATTTACCCCAGTTCCCTCAGGGTAGTGGCTCTAATCAAATGTCAGGTTGAATTGTTGCATCATATCTTCTTCATCTAGAACATGTAAGCTCCATGCATCCCTCCCTCCATGTTTCTGTTGGTTTCGCCTAATCTAATCTAATCTTCACCTGTATTCTTAAGATAAAGATGGTACTATACTTTTGATTTTCAACTAATCTTACCTTTAATGATGATCCTTGTGGTGGATACAGGAAATCAGTGAGATGCAAAAAGAAAGTTGTTACTTGAGGGAGGGCGGGGCGACTTTTGAATCTGACCTTTGGAAGTTAACCCGAAATGCATTGAAAGGTAGTACGTGTTTGTTCTTGCAATTGAATTCCTCTCCTACGCTTTGCTTTTCAATTCTCACAGTAAAGTAAACCAACGACTTTCTTCTGTAGGTCTTCCAAAGTCGTGGCTACTAAAATCAAATCAAATCATTGTAAAATATCTCTGGTTACATTTCATGCCAGTGCTTCAAGTCAAGTCACTGGTCCATTCCATTCCTGTAAGTAATTGTGATTGCGGTAAGCTGGTTTCCTGCAATCAATCGTGCGTTTGGGAGAATCAACACATGATTCTTGAATGGTGTTGGTCCGGTCCAGGGTGTTAATTGGACCAACAAAACAATATATTCTTCTCATCGTCTAGTCTAGTGTCAGTTCATCATCATTCATACCCCATTCCAGTATAATTAATTAACTACTCACTTAAGAGTATTTACTCTTCATGTCTCGCGTCTAGTCTAGTCTAGTCTAGTTTGCATTCAATTCGTACTAGAATTAGTGACTGTCGCTCTCTTATTACACCCACATACATCTTTTCTCCAATATAATAGTTTCAGATTCATCTTTTCTCCTTTTCATGATATGATGATGATTTATGCCTAAAATAATTTATTTCCCCGTTCATTTACCGTTACGACATTGTCTTGCCTATTTATCTATTTCTCGTATACATTCTTATCGGGTTTAGTAATTCGGGTCCACCCCGAATTATTAAATCCATCACATGTGACTATGTGATTTTATTATTTTTTAGTTAAGGTGTTCAATTGTATTTTTTTTTCCGGGTTCAATGTGCCAATTATATAATCTGTAGATGGAATTATTTGATCGTTTTGCCTTTGTTTTTCAAATTCATTATAATATAATCTTTTCAGTGCATCGCACTAGCAAAACAATAGTTTCAAAATTCTTCATTTTCTATCTAAATATTCTTCTTTACAATTTTTAAGTATTTCTTGAGAAAAAAGGTAAAATAAGCATTCATGATTCAACTATTGGCAAAATAGTTATTATGTCTCTAAAATTTAAAAAGTTTCAATTAAACTTTTCGCATCTATCTCATCCTTTTATTTTTATTTATTTATTTATTTAATCATATGAGAACCCCCACATGGGAAAGGACTAATTTGGGCCTTTTGTATGGTCATGGTTTTTTTTTTTGAATTTGTTGAATTATTTATTTACATATATTTATGGAGGGGTGAATTAGTAATTTTGTGAGATTTAGAATTCTGATACTATTATTTAGGGAAAATTGTACTTTTGGTCCCTCAATTGTTCCCAAATATGCAATGTAGTCGCTCATTGTCAATTTTGCAAAATTGGTCCCTCAAATTGGCTACAATTGAAATATTTGAGGGACTAATTTTACAAAATTGACAATGAGGGACTACATTGCATATCTGGGAACAATTGAGGAACCAAAAGTGCGATTTTCCCTATTATTTATGGATGTTATGCATGATTTTAGTAGGTATATTTTTTGTAGGATTGTATTTTTGGTGTACGCACACCGGTATAGATTTGTGTGCATCTTTAAATAATTATGTCAACACATTTTTTATTTCCGTACTTTATTGACTTTTATTATATTTTACTAGTATTTTCTTATGCGCGATGCGCAAAACTTAGGTGCCCAATATTATTATTTTATATTAAGATTTTTTATATTTAAATTATTATAAATAATAATAATAATAATAATAATGATGATGATGATGATGATGATGATGATGATGATGATGAAAACATTTTTATACATTTGATATTTATATTGTATAAAATAACTCCAAATTATAATGTATAAATATTATTATTATTGAAGAGAAGATAAGAAAATATATGGTGGATGTATGTGAGATTATTTTTAATGTATAAATATTATTATTATTTTTATATGGTGGATGCATAATGTATAAATATTATTATTATCTTTATATTGTTCACTAGTGACCGAAACTTATCAAATATAGCAGACAAATCAGATTTAGCACGCATGAGATAATACCACATATAACGAGTGTAATCATTCACAAACAACACAAAATATTTAAAGTCAGATGCAGAAAGTAATGGCGCAAGGCCCCAAATATCTGAATAAATTAATTCCAAAGGATGCGTACTAGTAGTTTCGACACGAGACAAAGGAAAACGAGAAGATTTTCCTAATTGACAAGAGGAACAGACATTGGGAAGATCACTAGAATTAAATGTACCAACAGACGAAGACGCTAAAATTTTACGTAAGACTGGAGAATGAGGATGCCCCAACCGCCCGCATGTGCCAAACGTAAGAGGACTGTGCAGCAACAAATGCAACAGGGGAAGCAAAAGACGCAGGCCATGTGTAGAGACCCCCAGACGCATGTCCCTTAAAAAGAACCTTCTTGATCAAAATGTCTTTCACATAGAAACAAAGAGGGTGAAACTCAAAGAAAACATTATTGTCCTTTGCAAAACGCTGGACAGATAATAGAGAAGAAGAGAGATCAGGGACATGAAAAACATCATGTAACTTAAAAGACAGAATCAATAGCTAACGAAGCAGAACCAACATTAACAATAGGCAAACCTGTATCACTGCCGACTCGCAGAGTCTCCGGGCCATCATAACTTGTCGCAGAAGTCATCAAAGAAGAATCAGGCGTAGCATGATTTGTAGCACCAGTGTCAGGGAACCACTGATGAGGACCATTGGAATCACCATTATCACCAGAGACGACCACATTAGCCTGAAAACCCGGAGTCCCTGAATAACGCCGAAAACAGTTGGCTCCCATGTGACCAAAACGGTTACAAATTTGACACGGATCATCATAGCACAAAAAATAATTAGCTCCCGTGTGACCAAAACGGTTACAAATTTGACACGGATCATCATAACGCCAAACACAATTGGCTCTCGCGTGCCCGGAACCTTTACAAATTTGACACGGATCATCAATGTCACGTCGTTGACCGGACCGCTTCTCATACGGTGTATCTTGGTTTGATGCCATCGGCTACTGCTACGAAGTGAGGAACATGGATGTTGGAAAAGAAAACCCTAGCTAACTGATACCAGATGAGAATATAATTGTGTTGTATTCAATAATAATGTCTGAGAGTACAGGGAGCGAATATATAAAGATGCTAGATAGAATCCTAGTCTAACACGAATAATATAGTCCTAGTCTAATATGGATAATAGAGTCCTAATAGATATCAATCGGATATAATCGTTTGAATATATTCTGCACGCATTATATTATATTCAAGAAGCTAAGTCTAAAATGCTCAGCATTATATATATAGGGAAGGGATCAAGTGGGGAAATGACTTCCCGTGTGGTTGGACGTACATTAAGCATTAAATTGACGTACTTCAAATACACAACACACACATATTAAACACACAAACAAAACACCTTAAGAACACTAATATCATGCACATTAAGCATAAAACTCACGCACCTTAAACACAAAACTTATGCACCTTAAGTTTCAACAACTACTCACAATAGGAACACTAATCTTACACACATTAAGCACAAACTCACGCATTTTAAGCTCAAAACCAACAATCTTTAAGTACAAAACTCACGCACCTTAAGTTTCAACAACTACTACCATTAAGTAATCAACCCACGCACCTTAAGCACAAGACTCACGAACCTTATGTATCACGCACTTTACTCACCGCACAACCGCACGGGAGACACTCAACCACACCAGAACCGACTTATATATATATATATATATATATATATATATATATATATATATATATATATTAGATGTGCATGAGTTTTGTGCTTAATGTGCGTGAATTTTGTGGTTAAAGTGCGTGTGGTTTGTGCTTAAGGTGCGTGGGGTTTGTGCTTAAGGTGTGTGGGTTGTGTCCTTAATGTGAGTAGTTGTTGAAACTTAAGGTGCGTGAGGTTTGTGCTTAAGGTGTGTGGGGTTGTGTACTTAATGTGAGTAGTTGTTGAAACTTAAGGTGTGTGAGTTTTATGTTTAATGTGCGTGACTATTGCGCTTAAGGTGCGTGTGTTGTGTGCTTAAGGTGCGTGATTCGTATGCTTAAGGTGCGTCAGTGTTATAAATTAAGATGCGCGAAGTTAATACTTAAGGTGCCTCCAATCGCATAACCGCACGGGAAGCCATTCCCGCAACTATATATATATATATATATATATATATATATATATATATATATATATATATATATATATATATATATATATATACACACACACATATATACACACACACACACAAAGTTTATATATTAATTATATTTGCGGGCATACTAATTACCTCGTACGAGTTAATTTCTTCACGAAGGAAGAAGCAGATTTTCCCATAAGCACAAACAGCAAAGCTTATTGAGCATATAATGTATAAATAGGGTTAATTCCACCAAAAGTCCCTTGATTTTTATGACAATTTCAAATTTAGTCTTAGACTATCGTTTTTGTCATTTAACATCCCAGACTATTATTTTTTGGACACTTTTAATCATTCTCATGATTTTTTTCTATTTTTAGTAAGGACATTTTTGTATTTTCAGATTTTTTATTGGTTAGTTTTCGGTTTAATTGGTTTAGAACTTTTACTAAAATCAGTTGAAAAATATAGTTACTAAAATCAGAGGTTACCTAAAGTTATAAACTGATTAATCCGGTTGAAACCTGGAAAATAACAAAAGAAAAATATGAAAAGACAAAAATGCCCTTACTAAAAATAGAAAAAGTCATGAGAATGACTAAAAGTGTCCAAAAATAATAGTCTGATATGTTCCCAGGCATGAAAACACCTTCATCATGACTTGCTGGTTCGTGTGGGCTCTTCCCTGGACTGAGGAGGGATCAATGACCAGAGGTGGTGGCCTATTCAATCTCAGGGGCTCGATCACTTCAGATTACCAAGCCTCCATTTGAATATTTGAGCCTTGAACTCTTGGAATGAATCCTCCATGGCCTGCAACCTACTGCCTTGTTTTACCACTTGAGCCTCTAACCTACTTAGTCGATCCTCCATGGTTGTGCTCTGTGATGAACTTAGTAAATTTGCAACAATAAAGAAGACAAAAAACAGGGTAAAGAATGGCTATTGTGGGAAAGGGGAAAAAGATGGTGATAGAAAAGGGATGAAGGAATGCAGAGAAAGGGGTGGATTTTTAGAGATTAGAGAGAGAAAATCTGAGAAAATCTATTTCAATCCAAGCAATCCCTAATTACAAATCTAAGAGCCTAAGTTAGGCCCATGACTTATAGAACTTATGTTGCAAAATTTTGGGCATAAGAAATAGAATTTTTAGGCTCTGATACAAAATGGTATCTGAGCGGTACGAACCTTTGCGATATAAGAAGCAGAGTTACAAATTGGTATCAGAGCATAGGTTAGACTCGTAGAGCTTTAGATTATGAGATTTAGGATGTGGGAATAAAATTTTCAAAATTTCAAATTTTTTGCCAATTTTATTCCTAGGCTCTGATATTTTACCACAAACTCACAACTGGTAAAAGTTTCGCAACATTTTGGAATAATGTTGAAGAACAAAATACCTGCTACCAGTGCTTCGTTGTTGGGGTTGGGATAACCATTCTCACATTGTGTCCCTCAATTCTGGCAATGATTCTTGGGAGGCAATGCTGGACAAGAACGCACACTACACTATGATAGCATCCCATTCATTCTCTACCTTGGTTTGGATTAAACTGTCTAGCTTCCAGATCGTCTCTCCTAGAACCACAATTCTTATTTGCAGTCCTTGGGCCACCTTGGAAAGTAGGAGTATTCTCCCCTTGACCTTCATCCTCCTCAACAATCTCCAGAATTCCAGCATTGTTATCCACGGCAGGTTTCTTCCCAGGTCTCTTCCCAGGCATGGAAACACCCTCATCATGACTTGTTGGTTCGTGTGGGCTCTTCCCTGGACTGAGGAGGGATCAATGACCGGAGGTGGTGGCCTATTCAATCTCAGGGGCTCGATCACTTCAGATTACCAAGCCTCCATTTGAATATTTGAGCCTTGAACTCTTGGAATGAATCCTCCATGGCCTGCAACCTACTGCCTTGTTTTACCACTTGAGCCTCTAACCTACTTAGTCGATCCTCCATGGTTGTGCTCTGTGATGAACTTAGTAAATTTGCAACAATAAAGAAGACAAAAAACAGGGGTAAAGAAAGGCTATTGTGGGAAAGGGGAAAAAGATGGTGATAGAAAAGGGATGAAGGAATGCAGAGAAAGGGGAGGATTTTTAGAGATTAGAGAGAGAGAAAATCTGAGAAATTCTATTTCAATCCATGCATGCCCTAATTACAAATCTAAGAGCATAAGTTAGGCCCATGACTTATAGAGCTTAAGTTGCAAAATCTTGGGCATAAGAAATAGAATTTTTAGGCTCTGATACAAAATGGTATCAGAGCGGTACGAACCTTTGCGATATAAGAAGCAGAGTTACAAATTGGTATCAGAGTCTAGGGTTGCTAACTCTGAAAGTAGTTACTTACAATTGGTCATGTACAAATACCAATTTCATTAGCAGCAATCCAACGTACTCTGAAAGTTTTTTGATGATATTTTCTAACATATTAACGGCTATGAATAAAGCGTAACTATAAAACAACTATACAATTTAATATCTATACACATATATGTATAAGGGTTATCTACAAATAAAAATAAAAATTAAAAATTAATTAATCTAAATACTAATCAATGAAAAAGGAAAATAAAAAAGATCTCTAATTCACTTAAAATGGAAAATGAAATCAAATTCACTTATGAATACTAATAATAATCATGAATACTAATAATAATCAGTAAAAAAAGTTAGCCAAAAAAAGATCACTAATTCACTTCGATCACTAATTAATTAATGAAAAAAAAAATTCTACCAAAAATTTTTAATTAATAAGAGTTAAATCCACTTTGGTCCTAAGCGTTGGACATATTTAGTCTGTATTTATTAATTTTACCCCATTTTACCCAAATTTAGTAAAAATTAAACAATTAAATAATTTTAATCCACCGTCACAATTGACATTAAGGCTCCGTGAAATAGAAGTCCATTTTTGTCCTTAAGTGCTTATTCTTCATCAGCTCATATTTTTCTGTGCTTGCGGCCATGGGAGAGCAACATAGTCTTCCTGAAACTACACAACCCTAGATTTTCGCATTGCCATATTTCCAAGCAGCATAGTCTTCCTGAAACTACACAACCCTAGATTTTCGCATTGCTATATTTCCAAACTCAAAGCTGTAACGATGAATTTGCTAATAAAGCTACGGATTCTCTAAACCGCTACCCAGCGGCGTAAACCGAGCTTCTTTCGAGTGTTCCGCGTCTACTACTCCGACTGTTTTGAAGTAGAAGCGGCCGACGAGATTGGACATTCCAATTGTGTCAATTGGATTCGGGAATGTTCCGCCGATTTCCACGGCTATGGAGAGCGTGGTGGAGTTTGAGAGTGATGAGTTTTCGGTGTGTTGTGAGCAGAGGGGTTGCTGAGCCACTGACATCTGATCACCACCCTTCTAGGCCGGACTGATGAAAAGGGTAGAATTGAGGCCTTGGTAAGCTCGTTTTCTTAAACTGGAGTTTCATTTCAACCAGTGCATATAAAATAAAACTAAAATCATTATAGAAACAGAGGCTAAAACATTATAGAAACAGAGGCTATTATATGCGGAACGACATAGATCAGGTGCCGTTTCTTTTACTGAAAAGAAACGGCACCAATTTATAGGCTGGACCACAATACATTGAGGATCGCGCTCAACAGTATAATTTGCCTCCAAACATACATACAATCTGCACTGCAGTGGTGGTGTTAGAACTTAGAACAGTAACAATATTTACACCAATCAAATTGATACTACAGGTGAATGAATGTCTAAACCATACAAATTCCTGTTCACACGCTATACACCGCCCAAAATCAAATATAAATGCAAGAATGGAAGTACATATTTGTTATATGGTGTTCAAATCCGTATTATTGCAAGTATAAATGTTTTTTTCCCCATTTCTGACTCACTTCTTTCTCAACATTCTTCACTCAATGTACTCACAACCCATCTAGTAGAAGTTTAAGCGTATTTCTGTTGCAACCAGCCCTTCTGGGACTGCCGTCCCTGGGACTTCCGGCACCGTATCTCTGTTGCAATCAAGCCCTTCAGGGACTGCCGTCACCTGCTACAGTAACAACTAGGACTTCCGCCACCTTATTTCTGTTGCAACCAGCCCCTGTGGGACTGCCGCCACCTGCTACAGTCTCATTTCTACCAACCCGCCACCTGCTACAGTCTCTTTTCCACCGTATTTCTGTTGCAACCATAGAGTACCAAGGAATTAAAAAAAATAAACACAATAATAATAGCTATAAATGCATGCGTTAGAACTAATTTAATAGGCGTGCAAAAAGAAAATGTGTGAGGCTCACCTGCTTTCCAATGTTAAACGGGATGTATTTATATTTGAGCATGTGGCCAATTTGGCACGTCATTATGTAGATGAAATAAAGGATCCAGAAGATTAATAATTCTTGCCAATGGAAGTAATGGCTATCAAATACAGAGAAGAAAGTCAAGACAAATGCCACACAGAAGGCCAGAGTGAAGTCAAACCTGAAACCACAAAAAGTAATCAACCTATTATACAAACAAGCTGAGGGCTTTATAAAGCACCGATCACGCGTTGATCTGCCATTTTATTATATATTAGAACATTTAAAACAGCAAGTTAAGTTCCGTAAAGTGACAGAACAAACCAGTACCAGAAAAATAAAAGTACCTAAAGGCATCAACCTGCTTACTCCCATCCAATTATCATGAAAACATATCATAATTACTACACCATTTGCCCTTGTTTTCACCAGAATCCAATATCTCACTAAATAATCACTAAATAACAGACACAAGCTGCATAACCAACAAATGCATCTTCAGAATACCAAACTAGGGCAACATAGTCAGGCATATGGCATATAACAAGCTAAGGTGATCCAGCACAATGCACAAAGAAAAACCACCACTAAGAGATGTTTGGCATTAGAAACATCAAAAAGGAACAAGGTCTTTTTTTGGATGTGCCAAATGCATGTGATAAGAACTAAGAGCAAATAGCAAGGGAAATTACCAAAACACGAATTCCGGGAGTAGACGAATGAAAGGTTTGAATTCATCTGAAGGACCATCTGAAGTTTGTAGGCTAGGATTAACAAGAGGTGTCAGAAAATCAACCAGCGCACACAGTATGAAGATGCCGAAAAAAAAGGTCACTACGTAGAAGCCTTGAATGGAATAGACCCGCAGAGCAAAAAGAATTGCAAAGATGAATGTTCCGATCCACCGATAAAGTGGATGAGGTCTAGTTTTATCCAAATAATGCTGGAAAGGCTTTGGAATGTCACGTCTCGGTTGCGTCGGTGCTGCACCAGCTGATCCAACACCCTCCATAAAATTCAATTTCGCAATCCTACAGGTCGGTCTCATATAAGAAAAAACAAAATTAATCCACAACCTTTATTTTCTTAACCATCCTAACATACAATAACAAGCATAAATTGATACACAACAAAGATACAGTGTTGCACATTTCGAAATACTATAATGCTACATATTGTAATTAGCAGCAATTATCCAGAATATTTTATTATAAAAAAAATGCTTAGCTTAATTATTGTAATCAGATAGACTATAATTGTCCACAATAGATAACATAAAAATCCAAAGCCTAGGTTGATCATAATCAAAAAGAGGGATTTCTTGTTTGTACCTCTGATCTGCAGCCCTTGGACCACCTTGGAAGGCAGGAGTATTCTCCCTTTTACCTTCATCCTCCTCAACAATTTCCAGAATTCTAGCATTGTTATCCATAACAGATTCCTTCCCAGGCAAGGAAACACAATGACTTGGCTGGTTCGTGTGGGCTCTTCCCTGGACTGGGGAGGGATCAATGACCGGAGGTGGTGGCCTATTCAATCGCAGGACCTCGATCACTTCAGATTTCCAAGCCTCCATTTGATCCTTGAACTCTTGGATTGAATCTTCCATGGCCTGCAACCTACTGCTTTGTTCTACCACTTCAGCCTCTAACCTATTTACGGGAGTGTATTCAATCATGAATTTTGTAAGGTTTTAAAAACTTTTAAAATGATAGATTTTAATAAACTTTGATAACTTTTATAGAGTTTTAAAATTTTATAGTACTCTATAAAAGTCTATATAAAAAAAACATTCAGACTTTTATCAACTTTTTATTTTAAAAAGTCTACAAAATTTTAAATTGAATACATCCTTACAAACTTTCAATAATTTTTATTCTTTTATCATTTATAATTTTCTTACAAAACATTTATAATATATCATAAAATTCTTCTTATTATAAAGTTCTTCACCCACATCAACATTCTCAACATTATTATTTTTATCCATAGTATGCTAAGACTTATATGCTAATTACTTATATATTATTATTAATTATTAATAAACATCAACAAAAAAAAAAAAAAACTATTTCATTAGAAATTCATAACAATATTGAACAATAAAATTTATAATAAAAGAATTGATCAAATAAAATATTTAAAATTATAATTACAAGTTTCATAAAATAAAAAAAAAATCTAATATTAATAATATATATATATATATATATATATATATATAAAATTATACTTGATATATTGCTAGGCATCACGCAAAGAACTATTATTTGTAATAGTAATTTGAGACTGTAAACAACAACAAAGTGCGAAATTTGACTTTGCTTTGTTTTGAATTTTGATGCCATTTGCTTCATAGTTCTTATCATTTGTTCTATATTTCTTTTAGGTGTTTATGCAAATATGTATGAAGACTTCTCAGTGCATGTCTTTTTATTTAATTTCTAATTCTCTTTCTCTATATCTCTCCGTATGTGTATGGTATTCCCCTAATAACAAAACACTAACTAAATCTGTTGCAGGTATTTTGTTCTTTTAAATTATTTCAAAATGTTGTGAGGCTTTTAGACCAGTTGGGGCTTGGTGGTAAAATATCAGAGCCTAGGTTTGTTTCTGTTTCGGTCCACTTTGTGTTACAAAAGCCTAAGTTAGGCCCATGACTTATAGAGCTTAAGTTGCAAAATCTTGGGCATAAGAAATAGAATTTTTAGGCTCTGATACAAACTGGTATCAGAGCGGTACTAACATTTGCGATATAAGAAGCAGAGTTACAAATTGGTATCAGACCCTAAGTTAGACCCGCGACCCGTAGAGCTTTAGATTATGAGATTTAGGATGTAGGAATAAAATTGGTTAGGATCTAAGCTAGAAATAAATATGCACTTTCACACTTCCTTACTATGAATTTCAAAATTTTCAAATTCCTAGCCAATTTTATTCCTAGGCTCTGATATTTTACCACAAGTAATTCAAGCAGCAGAAGTCCTCGGTGACAAGTAATTCAAGCAGCATTGTTACTTACGAGGATGTCGAACAATAACATCAGAACACTCTGGATATAAGAAATTCAACGTGCACCGTAACATCTAGACTTACTAAACTGCAACCTCGAAAGTGCAAAGACATAAACAGTCAAGTATTTGGACGAACTAGTGATTTGTTGTGAACTCTAAGGGTTAATGTTAGAAAAAGTTGCGTTACTAGACAGGCATTAAGGCTGGTGGTTAATAGTCCGAGGCAATCTGAAGATCGAAAATCTGCTTCGCCGAAAATGGGGAAGAACGTCGCCGGAAATGGAGAAGCTCATCGGAGAAGAAAGAAAATGGGTAAAATGACTAAAATACCCTCATTATTTGACCTATTAAATTTTTCCGGTGAGATTTGGCCGGCAATTTGGCCAGCATGACCAAAATTGATAGAAATTGCATAGTCAAGGTACTAAATTAACATTTTTGAAAGTCAAGTGTTGCAATTAACACAATTCCAATAGTCAGTGGACCAAAATTGAAATTTTCTCAAAAAAAATAATAGTCTTAGATGTTAAATGGAAAAACGATACTGTGACTAAATTTGGAATTGCCACCAAAGACAAGAGACATCTGGTCGAATTAACTCTGTATAAATATAAATGTGCAATCCATTTTTAGTTAAAATGGAGCACATGCTTTAATTTTGGTATCAGAGCCAACTCCATGCCAAAGTTCAGACTGGTTAGTGTGTTCATCAAGGTCATTTATTTCTCACAAGATTCTTGCCTGTATGTATTACTCCGACAAAAATCACCGCCCCAACTAAATCCAAGGCAGAGGAAAATAAATCTAATTAATATTATTTAGTTTTAATTAATTAATTATGGTAATTATTTTTAATAAAAAAATTATAATTATGCTATATTAAGATTATTATAATTTGCTTAAAAGGGTTCAATAAAAGTTAAATTTACAATTTAATGAAGTGGCGCATTATATTCTGGTTCACCGGTGCATCAAATATTTTCTCTAAAATTAATTCAAATGGCATTTTACATTTTTACATGGATATAAAGTTAATTTAAAATGTAGTATAAGGGAGCAACTTGGTACAAGTAAACTACAAGATCCTTAGTCACTTAATTTAATATTTTGTGCGTAAATCGACAATCAAATTTCTAAATATTGAAAGTTCCCGATCACTTATTGTTTTTATTTTTTTTATTTTTTTATAATGCATTAAATTCTTAATTTAATAATACCACTCATATTAGGTATTTAATTTTTTCATTTATTAATCTTTTATTACACTATATTGTTTGGTACAGACGTACAGTATACAATTTCAAGGAAAAATAAGTAAACAAAATTAAACCAATTTGGTTGGCATCAGTGGTTGTGCACTCTTATCCTTTAAGAAAGGGTAGTATAAGAGAACAACTTAGGTATAATTAAACTACAAGATTCTTAGTCACTTAATTTAATATTTTGTGCCTAAATCTTTAAAACCACAATCAAATTTCTAAATATTGAAAGTTCGATCACTTACTATTTTTGTTTTTGTTTTTGTTTTTGTTTTTTTTATAATGCATTAAATTCTTAATTTAATAATACTACTCATATTAGGTATTTAATTTTTTCATTTATTAATCTTTTATTACACTATATTGTTTGGTACAGTATACAACTTCAAAGAAAAATAAGTAAACAAAATTAAACCAATTTAGTAAACAAAATTAAACCAATTTGGTTGGCGTCAGTGGTTGTGCACCCTTATCCTTTAAAAAGGTCAAAGAGAGGTCGAGAGCTCAATCCCGAGGTCAAAGAAAGGAAAGAATTAGGTTGGAAAGGAATTGCAATAAGATGAGAATAATGTAGGAATTCAAATTACATTGTTTGGTATGGAAGAATAGAATTAAATGAGAATGAAAGAAGTGATAAAGACTAAGAGTATTATTGTCATTTGCTTACTTTTTTCCTTCCTTAAAAGCGTTGAATTGCAATTCATGGAGTACTCCATGAATTGCATTTCAACAAATGGAGGGAATTCCAACTAAACATTGTAATTTCCATTGCCATTAAATAAGGTAGAAAAAGAATTACAATTACATCCAACCAAACACCCCATTAGTGAAGGAAGATGAGATTCAGGAATATATACCTTCTCCAGCTGCTACTAATACGTAGTCTCTACGATCTCCCAGTCATCCGAAACCACCACAGATGACGACCAAGAATTTGCAAATTTGCATGGCAGCTTGCCATTAACCTCCTCTTCAGATGTAGGTGGCTCTTTATGCAACACCTCATCATCATCATCTTTCTGTTGCTCATTTGAGACCATGCTTGAAGCTCCTGCTGCTGACAAGGACATTACCTGCTCCTCATTATTATAACTTTGAGGAGGAGTTAGAAGTGATCTCAATAATCTTTCTCCCCCTTCCTCATTAAGAAGAAGCTTTACAAAACCACTTGTCACATTTGTTGCTTGGAACCATCTTTCATCCGCAACCAGCTTTGAACAATTTGAAGCTTCCCCATCAATGTAACCAATATTAATAACACAAGAAGAAGAAGAAGCAGCATAATATAAAGAATTTAACAGTTGTTTTGATTCATCTTCATCAACCTTCTTCCATTCGGCTGAAACAGGAAGCTCTTCTGTTGTCAAATAGATTAGTAAAATACCAAATCTTGTTACACTCTCAAGATCACAAGAGAAGAAATGAAAATGAATTGCTTGCTCCATAAATACAATTGTTGTGTTTGGGAAGTCATGACCAAGCAACCACAAGAAGAAGCTACAAGATATTGGATGGGTTGTCATTGCCATTGACCCAGACGTGGAGGATGGCGGGGTGGTAACCACCAAAACATGGGAGTCGCCCCATAATTCCTTTCTGTATTTCCTCCAGTTTGAATGCACAAATTTTAGCCTCTGTGCAGGAACAGATAAAATCCTTTCCCTTCTCTTCCTTTGTTTCTCAAGCTGAATCTGAATCTGAAGCTGAAGCTTAAATTCTTCTTCTGTGGATTGCATTTTCTGCTGCTCAACAATCAGCTCCCGCACCCCGCAACTCACACCCGCAATCATGTAGTGGCAAAAATAAAAATCGCCATTCAAGCAGCTCAACAAAAGTTTCCATTTGGGAATCTCATCGTCAATACATCCAACAGTTAATGTGCAACTAAGAGCAGCAGCGAGCAGCTTGTGCCTCCTACACAGAATAATCTCATCCAACTTGGAAACCCCTTCATCATCATCATCACTCGTAAGTAGTTCCACCCACACCGGAATATTCAAGGCCCCCATCGCGTAGCCCCCCAAACTACGCAGCCCAGGGAAGCTCGTCTCCGTACACAGAAAGGAAATGGAAGATGGGGTGAAGACAGCCGTCGATCCCGCAAGATCTTCCTCGAACAGCCATAAAAAAAATTCCCCGGATGATGGGGTCACTACTATCATATCGGAGTTTCTCCAAAGCTGTTTATGGCTTCTCCAGCTAGACTAGAAAGCGATCAAGCGCTTCTTGAATAGCTCTCCTGTGATCATGGTTGCAGGCCGGCTTAGTTTCCCTCGATCAGCTCCAAGAATTGTATGTTATATATGAAAGAGAAGAGTTGAAGTGAAGGTAAGGTGGTTGTGAAATGTGTGGGTCTCCGTTCAATAGGAAACTGTAATTCTTAGCTCAAAGTCAAAGATTGTTTTCATCCTTATCTAGTATTTATTTTTATATTTTTGCAATAAATCAAATTTTAAAATATAAAATTTTTTTTAAAGGAATTTTTCAGAATTCTTTGGCATCCTCAATAATTGGGGATTTTACCAGTGACTTTTTTGAACCCCAACATTCACTATCTTTACTCAATCACAAAAACTCTTTTCTTCACATTAGTTTTAAATTTTTCACAACTTTTTGTGAACCCACCATTTTATCTCTATATTTTAATTGTTTATTTATTATTATTATTATAAAAATTATAATTATAATTACAATTATTATTTTTATTATATTTAAATTACACATATCAATATTAAAGCTGTTTTTGGAGGAGCTTCAATGGCATTCGTACCCTAAGCTGCTTTTGCCATTGAATGTGTAATTATAATTACCATTATTATTTTTATTATATTTTTATTACACATATCAAAATTTTCAATGGCAAAAGAAAATAAGATGGTTGTGAAGAGTTGAAGTGAAGGTAAGGTGGTTGTGAAAATGTGAAATGTGTGGGTCTCCGTTCAATAGGAAACTGTAACTCTTAGCTCAAAGTCAAAAGATTCTTTTCATCCTTATCTAGTATTTATTTTTATATTTTTTCAATAAATCGAATTTTAAAATATAAATTTTTTTTAAAGGAATTTTTCAAAACTCCTTGGAAAACTATATTAGGGCATCTCAATAGTTGGGAATTTTACTCCAAATTTTTATAGGCCCCAACATCCAGTATCTTAGGCTCTGTTTGGCAAACCTAACTGAAAAGCTATAAGCTAGAAGTTGAAAGCTGAAAAGGAGTTGAAAATTGAAAAGTTATAAGCTCGGAGCTGAAAACTGGAGATGAAAACTGGAGAGCTGTTAAGTTAGCTGTTATGATTGAAAGTGTTTGGTAAAATTAACTTTTTGATAAGCTCATAAATGTAAAAAGACTAAAAAGGGCATCTTCATAAAATTTAAATTAGTTTATTTACATACTAAAATTTAGCATTTTGTCTTTTAAAAAAAAAATAACATTTTAAAATAGAACTATTAGCATAATCATGATCTAGCATCTCATAATGAAGTAGCAATATTGTTGAAAATTATCATAATAATAATAATAATAATAATAATAATAATAATAATAATAATAATAATAATAATAATAATATTTGCGACGAAAGTTAGGATAAATTATGTCATTTCTTTAAAATAATAAGGATAAAGATGAAAAAAAAAAAGTTAGGAAGCTAGGAGCTTATTTTGAAACGCTACCTAAGATAGCGTTTCAAAATAAGCTCTTAATTTAAGCTATGAGCTTATTTTGGGAACATTACCAAACATAGCTTATAGCTTATTAGTAGCTTAAAATAAGCTATAAATTCCTAAATAAGCTCTGCCAAACAGAGCCTTAATCACAAAAACTCTTCCTCACATTAGTTTTAAGTTTTTCTGTGGATCCACAATTTTATCTCTATATTTTAATTGTTTATTTATTATTATTATTATAAAAATTATAATTATAATTACAATTATTATTTTTATTATATTTAAATTACACATATCAAAATTAAAATAAGTTGAAAATTATAAATGTTTACAATTTTTTTAATATAATTTTATTGCATAAAAATTTAATAACAAAATTCAACACAAAAAAAAAAAAAAAAAAAAAAAAAACTTTAAAAAAAATTCGTTTCAGCTAAAAAAAAAAAAAAAAAGAAAGAAAAAGAAAAAAAAAATTAATCATCTGGCATCTGTTTTGGAAGCTTCAATGGCAAAAGAAAATAAATTTTGGAGGAGCTTCAATGGCATCCGTACGCTAAAGCTGTTTTTCTCCTGAAAAATCTTCAGGAATTAAAAACCATTAAAATCTTTCCTTCTCATTTGTCTAAAATCTTCAACTTGAACTTTCATTTTACCAAAATCTCCTTAAAACACACAAATAGAGATGCGCTTAGTAAATCAATACTATTTTAGTCAGCATCACTCAAAACCAAAATTTGAAAACCCTTATTCGTTTGTCTCATAAAATTATTCTTAGTTTTCGATTTTTAAAATTTTCAATTTTCATTTTTTATTTTCTATTTAAAAAACTTGAGTTCTACTGTTCTAGATTTGAACATTAAAATAGATATTAGTCATGGTCGTATAGTGTTTTGATTTTTTTAATCATTTTTAAATTGCCATACAGGAATAATAATATATGTAGAAGTCTAAATAACATCAAATCAACGTTAGTACCCCAAAAAAAAAAAAAAAAAAAAAACATTAAATCAACGTTAACATGATAAATGGATAACTTTTAGATTTAATTATACTTTTTCATGGTATATTTAAATTGATTTTATAAAACATTTTTTAGTTAATAACTGATCGAATTAGGCTATTACTCGAATTAAAAGATATATTTTAAAAAAATTCATCTATTTTTATTCTTGTAATTACACTAATTTATTTTATTCATTATAATTAATCATTTATTATAAAATGACTCATTTTTCTTAAATAAATGCAAATTAAGAGTAATTTTTATTTTTTGTTTGAATCCTTCTCGTTGTTGTTTTCATGAATTTTCAATTTTAAGAGTTTTTACGACCTTGACTCAATAGAGCAGATGATATAACTTATGGTAACTTAGTTAAACATAGATGCTAGATTTTTATTTAGTAGCATAAAAAGTCATCTCACTTTAAGAGATTAGTTTTATCCTATCATTAATGAGACTCGATTCTAAATTATTGTTCATAAAACTTTATTCTTATGATTCATAAAACTTTGTCATTTTTTTTTTCTGAATCCTAACGAAAATGAATCGTGTTTAGCATTGTCTGTCTGTCTGTCACTGCTAACTTGTTAACGAAGGAAGTCTCCGAAAATCTATTTTTCCCGAACATCCTAGAACAGCTGCGGCATTTCCGTGATTCTTGTTTTCAACGAAGGGTATTTTGGAAATCTGGGTCAACTATAAGATGACGCTGCGTTGATCTCATCTTTCTGATAACCCGATGTACCGATCGGTCACCATCGCTGGCCGCCGCGTTCACAGTGTCTTTGATCGGATTATCAGCTTTCCAGTCTCTTATATGCATATGCATATGTGTAATATATTAAAACCCTCCAAAACCCCATAAATCCATGAATCACCCCAAACATAAATGCTTCATTTTTCCTCTTTTTCTTTCACTTCTGTAATCCTTTCTGATTTGTCCTGCCTTTCAGTTTTTGAATCGTGTTAAACGATGGCGATGGATGTTCCAGAACCTCGGCGGAAGAAAATTCAATTACGGGTTTTCATTTCTAGCATTCTGGGTCCGATTTGAAAAGTCAAAATACGGCTCTGTTCTTGTCTGTTCGTCAAATTAGAAAACTTTGTTTGAAATTCTCTTGAAGCATTTATATATTGTTTGTGGTTTCGGGTTTTTAGTTGGATTGCGAGAAATGGGTACTAGGGCAGTGTCGATTGAGGAGGTTGTGGGAGAGATAATGAGGCTTCATCGATCCCTGCCAGCGCGGCCAGGGATTGATGACGTGGAGGCGGCGAAGTCGTTGGTTGCAAACGTGGAGAGGGAGGATCAGCTGAAAATCGACGCGATTGCCCGGCAGAGGAAAGGCAAAGATGTTCCTGAAGAGCTGTTCAAGGTGTTGCAGGAGATGCAGAGGAGTATGGTTCACTTTCAGAGCAAAGAGCAGAAGAGGGAGGCGTTGAAACTGTTGGACCTCGAGAATGCCCATTTGGTGTTCGACGATTTGGTTCAGAGAGCTTCTAAATGTTTGCCTTCCAATTCTCAGACCACCTATCCTTCCTCAAATTCTTCCATGGATTCCAGCACTTTTTCTTTAACAAACTCCGCTTCCCTGTCCGGCAGCAGCTTCGGCTCTCCGGCCACCACTGCCACCACGTCTAGCTTTTACAACGAGAGGGAGCCCCTTAAAGCTTCTGAGTTGTTCAGTAAAGACGACAGTTATTTAACCAAGGCAAAATCCACTATCCATGTGGATGGAATTGGAGTTGGAGTTGTTCGATATTCGGATGCCCCATCAATTCCCAAGATTGTTGATTCTACTTTGATGCCTTCTAGTAGCTCAAGTAAGTATGAATTTGAATTTTTTTTCTGCACTAAGCTCTTACTGGATAGGATATCTGAATGAGTTGCTGTTATTCTTGTGTAGTGATGATTAACAAAAAGATTTGTGAAGTGGTGAATTAAGGTGAAATGATGATTATTTTGATTGATAGTTTGTTGTCTCTGATTGTAATAGGCCATGATGGTGAAAAACTAAGCTTGATAAAACTTGCAAGCTTGATTGAAGTGTCAGCAAAGAAAGGAACCCCAGATCTCAATCTTCAGAGCAAATTGTCTGACCAAGTTGAATGGCTTCCTGATTCTATAGGGAAGCTATCAGGTTTGATCACTTTGGATTTATCCGAAAACCGGCTAATTGCTTTACCAACTACTATAGGGGGTCTTGCATCATTGCAGAAACTAAAATTAAGTGGAAACAGAATTGGAGAGCTGCCAGATTCCATTGGAGATCTTCTCCAATTGATCTCGCTTGACCTTGGTGGAAACCATTTGAAATCATTGCCGGTTTCTATTGCTAGATTGGTGAACCTCCAGGAACTTGATTTGAGTTCCAACATGCTCTCTTCACTCCCGGAGACGATTGGTTGTCTAGTAAGTCTCAAAAGATTGATTGTGGAAACTAATGAACTCGATGAACTTCCTCACACTATTGGCCAATGCTCTTCTCTTGTGGAGCTTCGTGCAGACTATAACCGGCTCAAAGCCCTCCCCGAAGCCGTGGGACGGATCAAGACGTTGGAGATCCTGTCTGTGCGCTACAATAATGTGAGGCAACTGCCTACCACTATGGCGTCTATGGAAAATTTGAAAGAGCTGAACGTTAGTTTCAACGAGCTTGAATCTGTGCCCGAGAGTATGTGCTTTGCTACCACCTTGGTAAAACTAAACGTTAGCAACAATTTTGCAGACCTCCAATCTCTGCCAAGATCCATTGGCAACCTCGAGATGCTCGAGGAATTGGACATTAGTAATAACCAGATAAGATTTCTCCCAGACTCGTTTAGAATGTTGTCCAAGTTGAGTGTCCTAAAAACCGAAGGAAACCCCCTGGAAGTCCCACCACCAGACATAGTTGCTAAAGGCGCAAAGGTTGTTTCTTTTTCCATGCTTTCCGAACTTTATCTCTATACTTTTATATCTTTCCTCGTCCTTTCCACTGTGTATGTCACATTGATTGTTTTGTCGTTGTTAGGCTGTTGTCCAATACATGGCCGATCTTCATGCAATGAGGAACATGAAGGCAGTGCAACCAGTGAAGCAAAAGAAAACTTGGGCTCAGAAGCTCTTTGGCTGCTCACGAGCCAATAAACAAAAGCGCGTTGAATATGTAAAAACCTAGTCATATATGTTGTTGGTAAGTCATTTCTCCTTAGTTCATGGCAATGGCTGAATGACCAATTATCTTAAATTAGCATAAAACCTAGTCATATATGCCTCACATGCTTCTGTTCTGCATCTCATGTACAGAAAATACAAGCTGTGGGTGGGCTGTAAGAGATCTGACATGTTGCCAGGTTGAAGAATTCTTAAACTATATTTTTGTCTAGGAATCACATGCTCATGCTGTTTCCAGATAAGGCTTCCTCCCAGTCCCAGGTTGTTGCCAGTTTGCCTGCCACATAAACTGAAGGCTTCTTCTTTGTCCTTGTTTAATATCTGTTATTCTTGTCTTTGCTTTATCTTCACTTTGTATCCTTAATTTGATGAATGAATGATTGTAAATGAGATTGTACAATTGACCTCAAGTCTGTGCCTGCACAACAGGATCTTAATTTGAATCTCCACTTTTGTACTGCCTTATCCACTTTAATGAATCTTTTTTCTTCTTCAAAATAGTGAGTATATATAATCACAATATTAATTAATCAATGAATATGCCCACTAATAAAAATACCAAAATCATCAAATTAACAAACTAATCAAAGGATAGATACCACTATTAACAATCTATAGTTTATATAGGAGTTCAATTTCCTTTCGGTTTTTAATTTTATAAATGAAATAGGCCCTGTTTTGTAATATATTAGCTTATCAGCTAATTTTGGTTTATCTGACTACTATTAGTTGGTTGACTTGGTTAAACAATCAAAACGAGTGTTTGATTAATTAGCTCTTTGTAACATTTTTTTTTTATTAATAAAAGACTAATTCATTAATCATAAGCAAAAATGTTTACAATACAGATAGTTAGAATGACAATGCATTCTTTACCGTCATACAAGACTGTTTTACAAATTTGAAGCCGAAGTTGTTGGATGAACTCGGTGCTTCTTCAGAGATCTAGTCAAACATTGCCAAGCCTGACTCTGGTGAGACCATCCAGAGACCATTTTATCATTCCACGCTTAGTAGAACTCGCCACGCTTAGTAGAACTCGCCAAAGAAACGAGAGGAAAATCCGCCAAAGAAACGAGAGAGAAACACTCGTCAAAAAAATGAGAGAAAACAAACTAGTCAAAAAGCTGCTCAAAACAATTTTTTTATCAACTTTTGAGAAAGTTATTTTGCATGTAATTAGCTATCATGTAACCGTTAATTTAACAAACACCTTTTGACAATCAACTAATGTTATCAACTAGTCAAATTTAATAACTCAATTAACTAACAACTATCAGCTAACCATTATTTACCAAACACTCAATTGAGTTTCAATTTTATTAATGAAGTAACCGATTAAAGAATATAACTCAAACTAATTTTTATTAAAATTATTGACTATGAAAATGGAACATAAATCTTTTATTAAAAATATTGTTTCTTGTGATAATCAAACATCAAACATGACATTCATGACCAAACTCCCTGTGCTGAATCTACTTGTCTTCCGAGGTGGTTGGGCAGCCTTAATTGAATGATGAAAATTGCAATTATAATACAAATTTCCATACCCTTCTCAAAATGTCAATGAAATTTTTTTACTAATATGTCATTGATTACGATTTTGGTGTTTTTTTTTTTCAATTACGCAATTTTCAGCCATAAACGGTTTTCAGATGTTTGGATAAATGTCTAATGACACCAATCACTTGCTATTACTTTATTTTCAAAAAATTATGTTTAAAAAAGTGGAAAAAGACATTTTGATTAATGTATATTTGTTCATTGATTGTGACCATTTTAAATACATAATATTACAATACTTATATTTATAAGAGAAAATAATATTTTCGTATTGGTGTATTTATATGAGATAACAATTTCAACCCCTCCGGCATTAATATTATAAAGCCTTAAGTGGAAAAAGACATTTTGATTAATGTATATCTGTTCATTGATTGAGACCATTTTAAATACATAATATTACAATACCTATATTTATAAGGGAAAATAATATTTTCGTATTGGTGTATTTATATAAGATAACAATTTCAACCCCTCCGGCATTAATATTATAAAGCCTTCAATTTTTTTTGTAAATAGGCGATTTTGATACTTTACCAATAGAGACTATTAAATCACATTTACATTACACGTGTGGAGCTTATTGATCAATATAGAAACAAAATTTTAATTTGTCGTTCTAAACCATTAAAGCCTTTGTTAATCAAGTCGGGTTACCAAAATCATAAAAATATCACCATGTAAAAAGAGTAAATAAAACTGACAGCTCACAACCACAGCAAGCCACACAAAGAGTCAATGCTTCCACTGAAGTTCAATTTCATTTAGAAGAGTTACAATTATGTCGCTCGATCATAAAATCTTTGACACATAATTTTAACTTTGAATTAGTTGAAAATAATATATCCACCGGACAACAAAATATTTGATAAGAGTAAAAAATATCATTACTATTAATGTGAAGTTAGTGATTAATATTGTATTAGGTATGACATTGTTTAGGGTATGATGGGCAAAGATTCTTTTATTATTAAAGAAAAGAAATTGTACTAATAATATTACTTTAAGTAAAGCAAATGGGATTTTATTAAAGTAGTGGTAATTACCACTTACCAGAGCAGGAAGCGCAACAAAACAGGGGGCGAGCCAATAGAGAAGAGTGGCGTGGGGTCCACCTTGTTGTCTGCCTGTCATTGTCTATTGCCTACGTGTCACCAAACACACAACAGCATGCCATACCAGACTGACGTCGTTATCCGTCCGTCAAAATCGCCTCCTCTATTGGCTCTATAGAATATACTCTTCGCCTAAACGGAGCATTTATTATTTATTTTTTAGAAAATGACAATTTACCCATTAATTATACGGAGTATTTAATTATTTATATTGTAAACTCAATCCATAAGTTATTATTATATATAAATTTTTCTCTATATTGATGGACATGTTAGATTTTTTTTTTTTATATAGCATTTTGTATTAATTAATCAAAGTTGGCAGACTCATTATATTGTCATTAGGGGTGTGACTAAAATTTTAAAATTGTTTTGATTTTCAAGTTTATTAAGGTTGTGTTTGGTTATTACATAGTAATCGGAATGGGTATCAAATACTTAGTAATGATAATGAGTTTTAGTGAAAATATTTTGCATGTTTGGTAGTAGAAATGATTATCAATAATGATGTTTGTGATGTATGATCCTATAATGGGTACAACAGAAGAAAATTTGATCCAAAATTCTTTAATATGGGACCACACCTCTCAAAAAAGATATCTTCAATTCCTATGATATAAATAAAGTGGAGATTATACATAAACCTCACATACATCTTCCTATCATATCATCTTTGCAACTATATATGACATTTCCCTCAAAAACCATGCAGAGCAATGTGTTCTAGCTGTTTCACCTCTGAGGATCGGGCTTCGAGAACGAGAAGTTGTCTTCGTTCTTCATCGTCTCCACTCCATTGTGAAGTGCATGGAGCTCCACTTCTTCACCCTCGTGGTCAACTTGTATAACTGCATTATTATTCGATGCTGTCATAGGCGTTGATGGATCATTTTCAGGGTCAGATTCACCGTCTTCCAAGGGGTAAGCGCGGGTTGGGAGACCAAGGGATCTAAAGCGGTGAAGCGAGGGGTTAGATGTTCGAAGAGGGGACCCCATTTTGGACGATGTGCTTCCACCGAGGGTCCGGGTTGGAGATTTTTCTCCCTTGGCTTGCTTCTTCTTCACCGCCATGTGCCACTTCTTCAACGCCTTGTTCGTTTGCTCGTCGAAGATGGATCTCTTCATGCGTGATCCCATCTGAGCTACAAGGGCATATAGGGGTAGCGTGCTATAGCTGCATAAGAACAACACTCCAACCCTGAAATAGAACGGTCCATCAATTTCATAATTGATCACAAATTTAGATAATTCGTGATGTACAATGAATTTTACTAGACATACCCTAAGCCAATTTTCACACTGACCAGCCCGATATCTTCATGGAAGCAATTTTCCACTCCAAATTCATACTATATAAACATAAATAAATCATAATACGCTTCAGTGATTGCAAGAAGCACGAATAAACTTCATTTAGGAAGTAAAATTAAAGTTCCAATAATTGATAAATGGAGGAGAAGTATAAAGTATTACCCATATCCACAAGAAGTACGTTATTTGGAATGCATTCTGCCCATGTCGACAACAAATATATCACATAATATTAGCACACTCCTTTACTTTGGGTTAGAATCGACGATTTTTAAATGATTTTTATGATCATGTAAACTAACAAGAGGCTTACAGTACCTGAAATAAGGCGAAATGGATGAGGTGAAGAACCAATGAAGGCCGACCAAACCAAAAGTATTTGTCTGAGCCTTGTACGAGAGGGATTCCTTGAACTACAGCATGCCTTTCCGAGATTTCAAGAGCCATCTGGGTCAAAATAGCTTGAAGCTTTGTCCCGACAGCTAAAATTAGCTGACAAAAAAAAAAAAAAAAAAAAAAAAAACAATTCCAAGAAACCAATCAGATGTAATTAAAACCGTGCCTGCAATCTTTAATTACCCTCATGAACTCTTTTAGAGCTGTAAATCAAGTAAGAATTCTTACAATTAAAGGAATGATGGATGCCCAAAATAGCGCCTGCCAACCTAAAATGCATTAAATGTTTGAGATATACATAACCAAGCAAAAAACGTAGCTGAGAAAGAGCTTATTATTAAAGGATAGCTTACCGTTAACATTTAGGAGCAAGAAAACCACAAAGGACCCCCAAAGCACGGGACTGCAAATATGAGTTGATTTAGCACGGGACAGAATTTAATGAACAGTATTGAAATCATAAATTTTCGAAATACAAAGGAGAGAGCATGTATGATTACCTGACTCCCACAACTACCTTGAAGTCATCCTCTAACGACCTCTTGATGTACTTTTGGAAGTTAAATTTACTCCCGGGAGCTAAATGGACCTACACAAGTAGCATTTCCAATCATAAAAACATTAATATATATTTTTCTACATCTTTACGTACTGTATATATAAAACTACTGATTTTTGGGAAATAGAAATGAAACGAAGAAGGAAATAGGAAAGTCATGGACGGATTGAGAGATATGTGGAATTATAAACTCACACTGATAAAGCCATTGCGCAGGGTCATATAGTCAGACTTGTTTACAGATCTAAAGAATTGCCTGAAAAAGCATCCCTGCGAGAGATAATCAAGTTATAAATCAGTAAAAATTCTATTCCAATGGAAACATGTGTCCTAATTGAACATTATTCTACATTTCCCTCGAGCATTGAACTAGACGATTTTATGTAAAAACATCAGCTGATCAAACATAAATTTCACTATAGAAATGTGTCTTACAATATAAAAGAAGATCGGAATCCTGGTCCAGAAACTCGTATGAGCTCTTACAAAAGATGTTTCGTGAGTTAGTCTGAATCTTGAAGGATCTGCAAGTTCCAAATTCCATAATGCAAGCCAGTGAGACACCATGCGAAGTGCAGGAAAAACATTATAGGATGGTGAGATAGATAGCCGATTTTTTTTTTTTTTTTAAATAATGCAGTGACATACCATTTGAGAATTCATAATGATGAGTTGAAGTTTCTTCCTCCCATTGTTTCCATCCACGAATCTGAAGAACATAGTTTTAAACTTTCAGAAAATTCATGTCTGAGCTTTACAAAGGGCTTATAACCATTTCAGCCATGCAAAGACTAACATATTAGTAATTGCAAAAAATTGATTGCCCAGTGTTTTTGGCATTCTTCAGACCAACAATAGTGTTTTGGGTCCAAGTTTACTCGTGAAGTGCTAGTGGACTTAAAAGAAAAATCAAATATAAGAAATTTCATACTTAATTACCTTTAATCTTCCAAGCAACATGGTAATAGCGCTATAAATTACATGAAGGACTGCCAAAAAGAAAACAAGGATGTGTATTTGATGCAGCGCATCAACAGATGTGAGAGGCACATGTCCCTGTTAGAAATACCGAGATCAGTTTAATAAAGAGAGATAGAATTACATAATTTCGTAAGTATTTATCGGGTAAGACAGTAACATATATCCAGAAAACGAGCACCCCAATCGATCTTAGTCAGGTAAATGAGGCAAAGAATCATGGTAAAGAAATTGATAAAAGAAAAAGAATACTAAGGAAAATGCAGCTGAGAAGTTTTGATTGCTATATCACAACAAGCTATCCTAGTAAAGTTAATCATGGTTAGCCCGGGCCTCAAATAAGACTGCCATCTTTACTCTTATCATGTTATTATGAGTTGTGTGATTAGACAGCCTTTTTTTGAATTTAAAAGTGGGCAATATACTTACCTCCTTGCATTTAAGTTCTTTACCAGCTGCTAAAATTCGGCGTTCAAACGATAAGAGCCTCCGATGGTGTTCCTCTTCTTCAGCAGAATCAGAACTTTTTTTGCAGGGAAGCATTGAGTCAGCAATATGCATCGGAATACATATTCCAGCGATGTAGTACTGACTAAATACAAGGATCAACGAGATAAATCCCAGAATCATCAACTCTGCAAAATGTAGGGAGATGTCATTCAAAGAAACCAACTAGGTAAGAAGTGTAAGACGATGATGGAAGTAAGCTTACCAGCTTTGACCTTCTCCAAAGCCTCATACAAAGCTTTCTTGTGCCTGTCTGTGAGCAACTGGACAAAAGTTATTCGTGTCAATAATCATCAGAACGACAAAAAAGCCAATGGGAAGATTAATTAAGCTCTCCAACATTTGCAAAACAACATTCTCTTGCCATTTCGATTGGGCATACAGTTTTTGAATCGTACAAATTACAAAAGAAGTCATTCCATGTTAATCACAATCAAGGAAAGAAAGGGAATCTTGGCAGCATTGCTATAGCTCCATTCAATAGTAGATAAACAATTGCCTAAACCTTACAGTACTCCGATTGAGTTCCCTTTTCCTATGAGATGCAAATACAATCAACAGAACCAACACAGATCAAACCAATAAACTTTTCAATCCATACACCAGAAGTCCAGGAAATTTTGACCAAGTCAAGATTATGAAACCAAATGAAAAACCCCACCACCACAAAATTTCCACACTCACTTCACACATTAGTTTAACTTCTGAAGAAACAGATTTCACTACAAATCAAGAAACAGATGAACACAACAAATAAAGACAAGAAAGGCAGCCAACAAGGAAAAAAGAACTAATATAGCTCTGGTAAACTTCTGTATTCCACCAATCAAAAAGTGTGAAGCCATCACAGAGCTTTCAACAAGAAATTTAGCATCAAAACATAACTAAACCAACAAACAGATGAACACAACTAGGCAAGGGGTGCTAGGGATTAAGCTGGCAGGTTAGCAAAAATACCGTTCCAAGCTTGTGGAGAATCTTCTCCAGCGCAATAGAGACAACGATTATAACTGTACAGACAACAGCCACAGCCCACGTAGGTGTCTGATCAATCTTCCTTGAGGCATCACCTCCACCCCCACCTGCCATATCTCCCTCCCTCCCACACTCTAAACAGAGTATTCCGCCTCAAGAATCAGAACCCGGCTCAGCCAATTCAATGGGACTCCAGAAAAACCCAATCTTGAAACCAAAAAACAATTAAAAATTGGGCATGCAATCTGAAGAAACAGACAAAATCAGGTTCAGACAACTGGAATACTGGATACAGGCTGAGCAGAAGAATGGGTTTATCTAGCTATTCCACTACGCGTAAAATAAACAGATAATTTATATAGATCTTTTTCCTTTTAAATGCATGTACTGCATTTTCTGCAAGAAACTGCAGGGGATTGAATCCTGGAAATATGTATTATACGTTTTTTATTATAATAATATAATAATAACAATAAGCTCTAATAAATACAGAAAGCTTTACTAGTTGGTGGGGAGTGGTGCCGAGTTGAAATAACCCATTCAAAGAATCGGGTTTACAACACAAAAATATATTTCCATGATTTTTGCGATAATAAAGAAATATATGTCGGAGCCCACCCATACAAAGGTGGCGGACGGTCTACCGCGTGGGTTTTGAATTTTGATGTGCCATTTGTAACGCCCGTTTTAAAGGAAGAGGATAAATACCTTAATTTTTTAAATGAGTCAAAATGTGTCATATAAATATGGAGTAAAATATATATATATATAAAGGTATACCTAAACTTGTAAAGTGTAAGCAATTATGTGTCATCATTTTTTGTTTTTATTTTCATTTTATTTTAAATATGTAAAATTATGTCAAATCAACCATTAATTAATGGTTTTAATTTAGAAATGACCAAAGTGCAAATTATATATATATTGCCAAATTGGGATATGCATTTGGACATTTTCATTTACAAATCTAATATATGTATTCCAAAAATACTTTTCACCAAAAATGTAATACTTTTGATTGGTCAATAAATACAACATTTTCATTCAAAATATTAATAAAAATATAGTGTGTTAAGACATAATAATATTATATTTTTACTAAAAAAAATATTAACCAATTAAGATGATACCCGAAGATACTAATTATTTTTTAAGTAATGACTTAATTGATACTCTCCATACAAATCGTAAATAGTAAATTATCGGGTCAGTGTGCGGAGACATCTAAAGTGAGCAATTTCACATTTTTGTCACAAGTAAATATCCATTGTCATGAATATCGAATAATATTAAAAAAAAAAAAAGTATTTATTGAAATGAAAGCTGCACATAATTAGGCATGCATAGTATGTCTTAAACTTTTTTTTTTTTTGTTGAAACATGTCTTAAACTTTATAAATACGCAAGTTAATATTCTATTTATTACTAAAAGAAATATATTGTTGTTGACAATGGTTTAAATGTTTTCACATGAAGAATATTTTAATACTGAAAGAAGCTTCCTTTTATTTTTGTTTTAAATTATGAAAAAGTCTGTAATCATTACTCAGAAATACAATTTGAATTAAATATGTCTTGTCATTTTAGTCGTAAAAGATCACAAGAAAATAAATTAACTTTAATTGTTTATAATTGATCCTCTCAAATTGATGAGGTAAATAATTAAACAACTCCAGCTCACTTCAGGTTCGCCAATCTTTTGAAATATTATAATATAATTTTAGGAAAATTGTAAAAAATAATGATAACGGAAGTTATACTAATCATGGGACGGACGGACGGAGTATAATAGCATAATAGGAGGGCAGACAACGGCGTGAAGGACGGATATATAAGGGGCAAATTAGTCAATATTCATTATCGTTGACATCGAAAAGAAATTAAGTAAATCAGGAGGCGATGAATGCGTAAATTTGTCAGATATATTAAGGAAGGGAAAACGTTTTGGGTCAATGATTCATTAGGGGAATGGTTGACTTATTTAGTGTTCTACCATCTATGGAACTGTTTCACATGGAGAAAAAAAAAAGTATTTTAGTTATTAAAATGTTTTAAAATGACACTTTTAATTTTTGATTTTTTGATGTCAAGATTTTATGAAAAATTTAGAAATATAATTTAATATGTTACTAAGAAGGTAGCTAAAGACTAAATTTATACAACAATTATAATTTTTTTATAAGAATAGATAAATGAGACTACGAAAGAGACGAGTTAAGCCTAGCTAGCACCGAAAGTTTTACAGATAAAAGTGATATATATATATATATATATATATATATATATATATATATATATATTATTTATTTATTTATTGTCAAGGGTGAATGATACATCATAAGTTTTGGAAGAAAATGAAATGTGATGCGTTACTTATCGTAGAATATCTGATGTCACTTTATCTTTATCGGTTAATTCATCTGACATTATCTCCATAATATCCACTGATGTGGATGCTCTAAGGGATTGAGGAAATCATGATTACAGTTAAATATGGGAATTGAAGATTCTGATTGCATGAAGGATATCATCCTATCTAATGGTATGTAGTCAAATGTATTAGTAAGATCATGCATGTGAATAATATTCTTTTCAAATGTATATTTGTTGTCTAGTCTTTATCTTTTTCTTTCTCTTTCTCGTCTAAGCTCGATCTTCTCAACTTTCTTTTTTATCTATTTCTATTTTGGAGAACTCTGATTTTACTTTCTCCAAAATTATACAAAAATAGAAAAATGGAGATGAAAAGTTATGTTTGAGAATTGATTTTAGTAAATAAGTTTTCCATTTTTCATTATTCCACTTATCCAATTATCTATTTTTCTCATAAAATTCTACATTTTTATATTTTGGTGAACAATCCCTTAAAGTCGTCCAAATTCTATACATAATTGTATCAATGAAATAGTTAAAGTCACATGAATAATTGAAATGACCATTTCTTCTGTAAAGATCCAAAAAAAAAAAAAAAAACAAAAAAACAAAAAAAAAAAAACAAAACAAAACAAAACAAAAAAAAAAAACAAAATAAAGCCAATTCTATAAAATATCATTTCATTCTTGAATTGATGTATTTCACGATCTAAATATGCTATAAGATGATAATAAAAGAAAAGAATTATGGGATAAGTTTTGGCAAAAATAATAATTATGGTATACAATGTTGTGTATCACGATATGAATAAAGTCAATAAATGGATTTAAATTTTAATTTTTAAAAGGTTTTAGGATAAAAAAGTTAACGTGTATTTGGTAAACAAATTAAATTTTTAAATGACCTTTTTGAGTATATATGCATATATCTGGTTTAACTTTTTCCTATTCTATAAAAAAAAGTAATATGAACAGCTTTTCAAAAATATTTTTTTATATCAAATAATGAAAAATACAAAAAAAAAATATATATATATCCGTACAAATTTGTATACATATACACAAATTTATTTGAATATTAATAATGGGGTTAATAAATATAAAGAGTAAAGAGTTATAAAATTATCTTAACATATGCAAATTTATCAATAAATATGCGGTCAAATATAATTGCGTCTCAAACATAAAATTCTTGAAAGTGGAATTTATGGAGAAAAAATACAGAAAGAAGATCAGTACAAACTCTTCTTGAATTGTTCAAGGCAACATCACCATCTAACATTTCACGTCGTACAGTATTAATGAATAGTACGTACAAAACTATACAAAAATATAATCTTCATTAATGCAAAAGCCGAATGGAGCTCTCCAGGCCACGCAAGCAGCATGATGGAGTTCTCAAGGAGTAGTTATGCTGTGTATCCGTGTATACGGATGTAAAAACGACGTCGTTTTATTAAACACGCGCGTCTCCCTTTAAAAAAAAAATTCAGGTTCGATTCCCAGTAATAACATTATGTTGTTCATTCATTCTGGAATTTTAGTTCATAGATTATGGAATTTTAGTTCATTGATTCTGGAATTATAGTTCATCGATTCTTGAATTGTAGTTCATCGATTCTGAAATTTTAGTTCATAGATTCTGAAATTTTAGTTCATTCATTCTGGAATTTTTAGTTCATAGATTAGATTCTGGAAATTTAGTTTATTCATTCTGGAATTATAGTTCATCGATTATGGAATTTTAGTTCATATGTTGTTGCTGGGAATCGAACCTGAATTTTTTTTTTTAAGGGGAGACGCGCGTTTTTAATAAAACGACGTCATTTTTGTATCTGTATGCACCATGCATGGTGCACACGGATGCACGGCATAATTTGCCGTTCTCAAGGGCCAAGGTCAGGTTTCGAGTCACGTCTGCAAGGTCGATGCGGCGGCTAATCCAATTACAGGTAAGGCCTTGTTGGCAAATTATAGCATGGACCAGGTCCATTTTGAATTTTTAGATTATGTACGTGCAATTGACACATTTTGTGCTTGCAATTAATTTTTTTTGTATAGATAAACAAATTGAATGCAGATTATATAATAATTAATAATTACGGATATATAATATGATAACTGACATATGAAATATTAACTACATGGAATATGTTAACTGCAGACACATAATATGTTAACCAATATCTTATGTGTTTGTAGTTAACAATTTATGTATTTATAATTATTATGTTACGTGTCTTCAATTTATTTTATAATACAGAAATTGTTAATTGCAAACACATAGGGGTCGTTTACTTCATTTCTCTGTTTTTCCATTTCCAGTTTTCTATTTCTCCATTTCTCCAATTTTCCTTCTCCATTTTTCCATTTCTCCATTTCTCCAATTTTCTAATTTTCATTGCTCATTCCTCCAGTTCTCTCTCTCTCTCTCTCTCTCTCTCTCTCTCTCTCTATCTCTCTCTCTCTCTCTCTCTCTCTCTCATATAGAATCTGTCCAATAATAATAATAATAATAATAATAATAATAATAAATCTATGGGGTCGTTTACTTCGTTTCTCTGTTTTTCCTTTTTCAATTTTCCATTTCTCCATTTTTCCAATTTTCCATCTCTATTTTTCCAGTTTTCCATTCCTCCAATTTTCTGATTCCATTTTACAAATTTCATAATATGGTGCACAAGTAATAATAATAATAATAATAATAATAATAATAATAATAATAATAATTTATTTTACAAATTTATTTTTTGAATAAAAAAAAATCAATACACTAATACTAAATGTACAAAAGATAACAAAAGTTGATAAAAATATATTTCTAGATAACTAAAACTATTTCAATCATTTTAGTACATAATTTTAGTACATAAATAATAATAATACTAATAATAATCAAAATAATAATAATAATAATAATAATAATAATAATAATAATAATAGTAATTAAAGGGGAAAACGCTAAAGATATAATAATAATAATAATAATAATAATAATAATTTTGAATGTGAAAAAGCACAAAATGGGAAGTAAAAACTGTAATGATAATAATAATAAGTAATAATAGTAATTGAAACCAAAATGGTAAATAATAATAAATAAATGGCGGCTGTGCGCAGGGGAAGAGGAAGGGAAGTAAAAAATGGGAAAGGCGTGCATA